CTTTCTCTCTCTCTCTCTCTCTCTCTCTCGCTCTTTCTCTCACATACTCACACAGGGATGATGCAGTTGCGCAGCGAGACGGATTCCCCGTAATTTGTTTCGTTAAAACGTCATGCATGTGTGATAGCTCTCGGCACACTCATAATTTCCCTCGCGGATGATCTTTCGATTAATAGGAATTAATGAGCCTGCATTCCAGCAAAATAGGACAAGAACGTTCTTAGAGACGAGTTAATAAATTAATTAGTGAAACGCTTTCCCGCGTAATAATTCGTATGCGAATTGAATTCTCGATCGCGAAAACTTACGATTAAGTAAAATGAAGCTGCAACATTTAATGTAAGAAGTGTAACGCGGTTGCAATTCTATTTAGAATAGAAAAATCCATGATTATCTTGCGAAAATAGAAATTAAAGAATAACAAGTTCTAAAAGAATAAATTGTTAAAATTACATGTAGACATTCTAAATTTTATCGCTTAATAGAAAACTTTAATTAAAAGGTTGATTTTAATACAATGTAATTGTATTAAATTTCAACATAAAAATCTGATTATGTTAAATGCATGTTGCAAAAACATGAATCTCGGAGAACGTGAATTCGACCGTTATCGTCTCTTATTAATCTTCGTATCCTTTAAGAAAATTAGTCATTACGAGCGTAGACAATAATGGAGGCTCCTCTAAGCGGAAACGGCTGACGCGCAAAAATCGCGAAATCGTGGGTGGAGGAACAAAGGTTTCCTTAATTAATGAGGGTTCGTTCTCGCTAATAACGACGCTATTATTGCGATACCGTGGTTCATTAACATTTATCGGTAACGCAGCTGTTGTCTCGCCCGGCCTACTCGATGCCTATCGTTTAATTGGGGTCAGCCGATTAACTTGCGTTTAGCTCAGAATATACATCGCCGGCAGAAAGAGGGTCACCCGCTTCATCATCGCCTCGATCATCGTCGATCATCGTCATCGCGATCATTAGTAGGTCGCCGATATGCCGCGCCTCGCGCGTCGCGATTCTTAGAGTACAATTGAACGCAGATCAGAAAACGAGCAGCTAATGGAGCAAAATACATTTTTCGACAGTGTACTCTTTAATGGATGGATGTTTAATAACGTTTCATTAGCAATTCTGCAGTTAATTAATGACGCTTCGCTGACAGTGAAAATTTCAGACACATCACGTAGCAGTTATTAGAATTTTAATTCCCGATGTAAGATAAAAGTTAAATACAATTTCAATCAAAATTTTGAAAAATATTTTCTACAAAAAATTAATCAACAACGGTGAAATTTGTAAAGTATTAAATGCTGAAGCACAAAAGATGACAAATTACTTTCCACTTCTACTCGCTAAACAATAAAATTTTCTTATATATTCGCGTCTGCCCGATTGTGCATATTTGAATTAATTTGAAATCGCGCCCGGAACGCGTGCGGTGTTATTACGACGAATAGATGCAGCGAGGACGGTGAATAGTAATTGCGCTATGATCGTACGACATCAAAGCGATGATTAAAGAAACCGCTAGCGCGCATTTACAAATTCAAATTACCGACGATGAATGACGACGAGACGATGAGCGGGATTGAGCGACGAACAAACGAACGTAATGACAAACATGCTGCTCGATAGTAATTCTCCGTGATGTGCCGCGGAATCCTCGCGCGACCGTAATAATCGATAATTGATCGAGGCGGTCGTACCTCCGGCGAAGCGTTTCCGCAGCTCGAATGAAATTTCTTCCATCTGCGACTATTCGTCTCATCAAACAGCAATTATGCAGATTCGCGTTGCAGCAACGAACAACGGGACACCACCGTGGATGAATAGGGCCGTCCTGTTGATCTCTCAACGGAATCGGAGTGAGATTTGCGCGGATCGCGAAATGAATCACTCCGATCGTTTCTCGCGATCGACCTTCAAGGACGGGGCCGAGGCGATCAGAAAATTGGATCTTCCGATTCCGATCCCGAGATACGCTGTTAATAATCCTCCCCTTCTCTTCCCCGCCGACCGTACCATCGCGAAAGTCCATTTCACTTTCTTGGATCGGAGAAGAGAGACGGCGAATCGGCGGACCGATTCGCGAATAATTCGAGAAACCGATGGCTGCGGCCGATTACGGCCGTGAGAGCTGATTTACGCCGGTGCAATTAAACGAATTAGCCACACACGGCCGGCCGGCCAGCCCGCCAGCCGCACCGGCGAAATAAGAGCGGCGAATGGACTCGCGAGAGAGCATCCCGGGAATGTTACTCGTTACCGGAGCGATTTCGCGGCATAAACGGCTCGTATCGAAAGTCATGCATGCTACAGCGAGCGATACGATCTGTTTTTAATTTAGCCGGTCGCGAAAGTTAGATCTCGAAAATATCGTTCGCGCGCGTCGCATACTTATTCGACAAAATTATTGCACGATAAACTAACATCGCCTTAACACTCATCGGAATCTTTAACACAAGCAACGTGGTTTTCTTTAAATTTCTTTCTGGGACAGTCATATTTAAGATATGTGGAAAAAGTCCATGTCATATTTGTAATAATTATCGAATTTACCGTAGTCGTCAAGAGACCGAGTATCTATCGCAAAACGCGAAGCAATATTGAATCGCACTTATTAATTATATAAAGAAGGAAAAGACGTGTGCTTTGAAAAAATACAAAACAATCACAGAAATATTTCAAGTTCAACCGCTGAACGCAACTACACGGTATCGGCGCATCCGATTGTACTCAATTTGCATATGCCATGGCGATTTATTTATGGGAACACTTCAATTTTCGCGTGAATGCGAAGCGAAGAGAAAGAATACAATCCACGTATTGGAATAACTCGACTTTGGAAAGAGCGCCACTCCTTCATTTACGTGACCCGTTGATTTGCAGCCGACGAGGGTCTCATTCTTGCGAGGCAATTACGCCGGTACCGTACTGCCGAAGGGAAACTGCAGCGTCCATTATTTTTAACCTCGCGACGCGGCGCGGCTGGTTATCTCGGATTCAATTCCGCGGCGGGCGCAGGGTGGAGGCGTAATGCCTGTTACTTCGCTCTCCACCCCCGGTCCGTCGGCCGTAGAGACCGAAGACAGGTAAGAGCAGGCTTTGTTTCGAAAGCAATCGGTCTTCCGCGGGATCTCCCACGACCGCGCCGGGGTCCCGCCGTCGCCGCCGCCGCCGCCGCCGCCGCCGCCGCCGCCGACGATTCATGACAGAACAAATTACAGATCGGCAGAAAAAGACCATCGGCGGCTCGTTCGCGGCTACGCTCGGTCCCTACGGCCTACCCTTACGCGCGGGAACAACACGCGCGCTACAAAGTCGTGAGAGCAAATTAATGGCAGCCATAATTTCGGCCGATAGCCGGCCGATGATGATGTATCGACGTTAAATGCACCGGCGTAGTCGTCACGCCGCCGATTATTCACGGAATGTTAGCCCGATCTCTTAATCGCCGCAAGGACGCCGGGAGTTGTCTAAAAACCGTCGCACAAGTACGATAATAAACATACAATGCGATGCACGAAAGTCTGCGTTCAAAAATACGGTTTTCCGATATTCAAATATTTTATGCGCATAATTAAGAAAATCTTGAGCTTGCAAATTATATGAGAGATAAGATAAGAAAATTGTTCCGCATTGTTCAAGATCTAAATCGCATAAATAAAGATACATAAAAAAGATCGCATAAAAAAGATACGACTATCGCTTATCATAATCATAAAATAATCACAGTTTAATCGCATCTAGCAGTCATAATAATCACACTTACAACCTTGAATTGACTTACCTTGCACTTTCCTTGAAATTGACTGTCGCTTCTTACGATTTAATAAAAAAAAATACTCTACTCCTGCGTTTATTATTATTAAAAAAAAAACGACTTGATTACGATATCTAAAATAATCAAAGTTTCGCTAAAAGAAACAAATCAACTTTAAATACAAGCTCCACCGCGATGTTGAAAGAGCAGCAAGAAGTTCCAGCTTTCCACGAGGTACTTGACGATGCTCGCTCCGTCTGAGCGTTCCGACTTGTTCCCACCGAAGTTCCGGGAATCTAATTTACGTCGGGTTCGCGACCGAAACAAGTCTTCAGGCGAGCGTAAATGCTCGGCGGGTCGTTCCCGGGAGAAAAGCCGAGCGGGAGCGCACATAACGAGAGCGGGAGAACGCGAGTCATCTCGCGGGATCTCCGCGCCGACGGAAACGCGCCGTGTCTCTCCCGCGCGGGGCTGCCCCCGGCTGACTTATTTCGACCCGTTAGCCTAATTTCTCATTTCCGCGTCAAGGACGACCAGAACGACTTCTGTTCTGCGCCGCGCGCGGTCGCAACGGAGGGGCGAGGAGACGAAGCGCGTCTCCGTCGTGCGTATACCGGTTATTATCTTTTCGCATTTTTCGACCGAGATTATTCGCGAAATGAATGGCCCTCTTAAGCCTCGAGACCGGATCATTAATCTGGGTTCGAGGATAGGGCCGATGCGGGCACGCCGGTCGCCGGTGAGAAGCGCGCCTACAAAGACCCAAGTTGCGCCCGTGTGCCATCTCCACAATCGTTCTTTCACGAGAGTGATTTAAATAAAGGGTAAAGGACACTTCAAGGCTGACGGCAATTCCGTTCAATTTATGCGCACGGACCCGATATATAACCCCTCTCGCTTTCTTTCTTCCTTTCTTTCCTTTCGTCTATTTTATGCGCCGGTCGTAAAAACGAGATAAGTTTACGCATTAATCAAAAGTGGAAACTGCTTCTTAGGACACACCTCGACAGATACAAACGTAATATCGGTTTGAAGCCTTAAAACACATGCTGCCGTAATTATCCTACTCTCTTTCAAATTATCCCTTAAGGAACGGGAATCCGTATCAATACGATAAATGGATTTGTCGGCGGTGAAACGGCTTTTTTTTGTACGCACTGGAAAGATAGTTCGCTAAAGGGATTCAATTCGAGCATTCGCCTCGAGCATTAAATTACAAATTAAAAGGCTCACTCACATGTTCGTCGACCGAATACGTCAGCTCCCCGTCGTCGTAGAGAACGAACCACCTCCTTTGCCATCTCTGCAACAGAAAAAGAAGCATTGACTATTGGAAGAAATATTTATAGATTTCGCTGCTTATATAAATATAACAAGAAAATATTTAAATCATTTTTATTCTACGATCTGTGATCGAAAATTTCATATTTCTACAAACCGTACATTCTACAAACCGTCGCGATTGAATCATCACAAATTTTTAATATCCCTGTAATAAAATAATAAAACTTATTGTAGATAATTAACGCCGCGATTATTTGACAAAGTATAAGATTACGACAAAAGCGTTGGGAAAAGATACAAACAGAACTTTCCACTTCGCAATCTTCGCAGAAACGCACGTCGGGAGAAAACAATTTCGCGCGGCTCAAAGTTGAACCTGTTCGATTCGCCTTAAAGAATCTCTGAGGTCTCTCGCTACGTCAGCTGAACAATTAGCACGCGGCAGCCGTTAATTAGAAACAAAGTCGGCGGAGAGGAACAAGTAAGAAGAAGTGTAGCTGAGTGCAACTAGCGGCGGCGTATCATCGCAATTTCTCTTTCGTTGCCATCTGCGAGCGTGAAAAACTTCACGGCGCCGCTTCGAACACTTGTACGTTTTAAAAAATATTCGCATCTCAGCGATGCTCCAAGCACTTTCGCACTCAATTTACATGCAAATATAAGCATATCTCAAACATTTAAACCTTAAATTTCTCCTAGAAAAAAAATATATTTATTCTCCAGAGCGTGAATAAACGCGCACGACGTATCTCGCGCGTTGCTTTCATGTAAATCTCTTTAACAATAGCTTTCACCGCACAAAATATATTACAATATATTTCGGGATTTCTTAACGCGCTAATGTCCGCGAGTTTAATTGGTACAAATTGAAGAACAAATTATTTATAAAGCGACTAAATGCAATGACGCCATAAACATCTTCTCGCTGCTACTCGCAATTACTTTCTTGTGTAACACGTGCCGCTTGTTTTTCTTATAATTCTTGTATAAATTTTTGCTTTGCAACTTTTTTTACTTTTACGCGTTTCAGCGCGCTTCACAACTCGTCCACTCGTCACGGCAAAAACTATGTAATATGATTTCAAATATAATTATTAATCTGTTTGCGATTATATCTAGTCAGCGAGCTAATTAGACCCGACGATTGTTGGTCTCATTATCGCATTTATCTCCGAGATCGCGATATGATCTGCACCGGACTGCGAGTAAGCTTCTGAAGTCTCGTTAGAACTTTCCGTAATTCGGACGACGCAACGGCCGTGTCGCTGTCAATTAAACAAGTCAACAATGTTCGGACGCGCGATAAGACGAGCAAACGCGCGGGCCTCATTTAATTATCGAATGTTAAACAGGTGCATCCGCGGGAAAGTACATAAACGGCGGTGGTCGTCAGAGTGAAAGTCCAAGTAATGCTGTGCGACATTCGACGAGTAACGCGACGAAGAACGATCGTTTGTTCGAGCGGTTTGTCCGGATAATTGGCGTGGCCCAAATATGCAAAACCGAATACCGTAATGTTGCGTTTTGCCGAACCGGCAAGCTGTGCAATGTAAAACATTGCCTAATTTACTCCACATAGTTGCACGCAAATATAGCTTGATGCTTGATTTTATACACATTAATTTCAGAATTTTCTGCGAAACGTAATATTGCATGCAATGCTGTTCTCGTTTCGACTGCCGAAGAAAAGTCTCAATTGGAGAAATCAGTTCTCCTACATCGTGCGACGATGATAAGCCACATCGATCGTTTCAACCGACATCGCTCGCTCTACGCGGTCCGTTTTCATTCGTTATCAGTAATTGCATGGAGAGAAAAAGAGAAATCCCCACAATGTTAAGGAAAGTAATTGTCATTGATGAATGATAACTTCAGAAATGAAAACTAGCACGCCGAAATAACGATCTTTCCCTCGCAAAAATTCACTTCATTCTTCATCAATTTTAACCCTAATTTCTCTTTTATTTAACCATAAAGTGCTAACAAAAAATATTGTTTATTGACGCAATAAATCGGAAAATGTTTAAAATATCACTTCTTTTTGTTAGATTAATATCAATTTAAATGTAGTATACAAGAATTATATAACACATAATCCATATTTCACGCTACATAACACTTTGAAAACGTCACGAGCTTAATTCCTTATGAATTATGAGTTGCAAGTCGATTTATATTCTATTTTTACGAAGAGTGACAATTTACAATTTCGATAAAATACTACATGCAGTTAATCAAACTCATATATTTTTATCAAGCGTGACAGTTGCCTGAATAGAGTACAGCTTCACGGACAAGTGTTAGGAATCGACAGATGAGAAAGATCGATAACATTTCACGACGAGAAGTAAGGAAAAACAATTCTCATGCTATAACGCGATCTCCTATCGATATGCCTACTGGTAGGTCAACGTTTTGCAGAAACGTTTCCGCGAGGTGCTGAGATGCAGCGGCGGCCGTGTTTTCAGGGTACGTTGTAAACGAGAGAGCGATACAAATCTGCTTGTGTCGAGCGAAACGACGAGAAGGCACGTCGCGGGTCACCGCTTTTCGCGCGCGCCCGCGTCCCGAGTGCTTCGCAAAGTCACCCAAGGCGAGAGAAACGATGATGAACGTCTCGCCTCCCGACACGAAACCCGGCTCATTTTTGCCTTCATGCTCTGCCAACCATGCGCCGCGGTAATTCGTCAGTTCGCGACCATGCGACCGGCCACGCCCGCGAAGAGAATCGAACATCGATACTACCATCTCATTGTTTTTTTCTTTCGCATTCCTGGATGAAATCGCGCGATACCATCACAGCCGGCATTTAGTTACCGTTCTTAAAAGACAAGCCGCACGTTACAAATGATTGTTAAGCATAACTGCTGCACGGTCTTAGAAACACATATATATTTTATAAATAATCCGTATAAATAAAATATTTCGCTACATTTACATTTATCAAGTATAAAGTATATTAAAAACTATGTTTAGAAATTTTCCTTTAAAAACGGGATATTAACTTCACGTAAATCTTCGTTATTGTAATTAATTGAATTTAATTCGCCTCAAAAATTCATTACAATGAATGATGACATCCGAATCGGTAAGCAATAATATCTCGCAATTGCAATTATAATGATATTCGCACATAAAAATGTATTTTAAAAATTATAACTTCAAAGCTGCGCTGCTTGAATAAATCTTTCTTACAATATTCAATATTTGCTCGAGTAATAATACTCAAGATGTAAAACTTCCACCATAACGTAAATCCCGCCTGAGGCCGAGGCGTATGTTCGAAGGCGAATCAAATTACATCGAGAAACACGTTCGAGAACGCGCGCGCGCGCGCGCGCGCGCACCTCGCGAAACGGAGCAGCCCTGAAACGCGAGACTGCGCGACCGTGAGAAAATCGAGTGCCCTATATTTCTATAATTCGAACGGAAGAAATCCTCGAGCGATCCTTCGCGCTTCTTCCTCTCCTTCGTTCCTTCCTCGTTGCGCGTAAATCGGAATTTCGCCAAGGCGACTTTCCACCCACGTGTGGCACTAACCTTCCAGTCACTTCGTAATTTATCCCGTGCCCGATACGTCAGATTTACGAGCGCGGAACGAAGGCGATCGAACGAAGAGGAGGAAAAAAAAGGAAAGAAAGAAAAAGAAATCCCGCGTCGTAATTTGCACTCTGCCATAAACTTCGTGACACTGTACCGTTATAAATAACGCGCGGTCTCTACAATGTTTAAACGCTATGCGCCTCGCGCACGCACGCGGGAGGTGCACGGATAAAACGAGAAAGGCAGAGAACCGCAGTCTCGTATAAGTTAATCTCGTTTCAAACACCATCGTTTGATGGATGAGGAACGAAATAAATTCGTACCCTGAAAGAAGCGCCGGGGCATCGCAAATAATCACGGGTATCGCGTATAATGCGTCTTCAGGGATGATCAATTGCATCTGCAGATTTGTTATACGTCAGCGATACAGATGGCAAATAATAAAATTAGAACAATTTAAAAAAATATATACTTATATTAATCGATACTTTTCCCAGCGCGTATTTGCGAGTGTTTGTCTTGGTACAAGTGAATTTTTTTCTTTTTTTACAAAAGCGAGTCACGAAAATTGAACGAGGATCGTTTGCGAAACGATTGGATCGCGGTCGTGGGAACGACGTTAGTTCGGTAAGAGATTTCGCACTATCCAGACCGTGTAGAATCTAAATAAACTGGCGCGAGAGGCGTAGCGTCCGTAGAGTCAGGGCGAATCGCTTAATCGCTTATTTATCGCGCGACTGTATTTTCACAAAGCTGAAAAAGTCCAAGCGGCGATGCTAATCTCGGCGAAGAAGGTTTGACTTCTGCCAAAGTAGCACCGTCAGCGAACAAATCACAGCAGAGAGCTGACAGATCTAGAAATCCGACGAGCAAACGATAATCTTTCCAGAATATAAAAGCTGATGCGCCAAAAAAAAAAACTTGTCACCAATATACAGAACGTATACAATATGTGGAATCGATTTCAAGAGTCAACTTTTTTAATTATTACAAATTAATTTAATAATTTTAGATTTAAAGTCCATTTTTTATAGTAAAAATTTAATTTAACACTTAGATGCATTAAAGCAGTTTAAAATAACTTTTATGTACAACAATACAAAAGAGATATAGAAAAGAATAGCACGGAACTTTCATATCTCTTTTGAAAAATAAAAGATTAAAATTTCATTTCAATATACTTTATTTCTCCATTTGCATTCCGATCAATTCTAACCGCTTTAAAAAGTCTGACAAATTTTTCTGAAATTATTCTGCAATATCACTCGGCAGTTAGCGATGTTATTTCTCGCCCGCTTTCCTCGTCTTTCTCTCGAGGAAAAGAACGGCAAAGTAACAGCAAGAGAAGAAGCAAGATGCAGAGAGGAATCCAGTCGGCCAGCGACTAGTGACAAGGCCAAAGCACACGAAGGAAAACAAATGCCGTGCGTACACAGATACATTTATTCTCATCTCTATCACGCTCTGGCTGGCGTCGACAGCTTCCTGGTGCTGACTTGCGCAACTCGCGTCTATACATTGCCATCGAGTCGCTTCCTGCAAATCGCGGCCGTGAGCCCGGCGAACAGCCGCGCAGAGGTGCCAATGGGATTATTACGACGCGGCATCAATTATAGGCGCAATTGTGCAAAATGCTCCATCAAAAAATATCCTTATATTTCAATATTATTTCAAAATCGCGCGGAATTTAAACGGACAACACCACTAATGCAATAAATATTTCACAAATATAGCTCATTAATTGTACAAGTTGATAAATTAAGCATTACAGTAATTATATATAAAGAAATTGCGGAAACATTAAATATTAATCCTTTGATTCAATAACATATGCACAATATAATATATTATATTATAACATATTTTATATCATATTATGATACAAAAACTTTAAATTAAAGCCTATAATTATTTACCTATTTTATTCGTTTATTTATCTTTTATTGAAATTAAATATAGTTCTTTTATCATAAGAGTGTAACAATAAATAATGTATACCATAAGAATATTTTTTTAATAGCGCAAACTCGGATTCAAAGGATTAATGTGACCTAAATGTTTCAATGTAATCACATTACTAAAATTAAAGTCGGACGTGAATAGCTGAAGGATTGCGTTTCATTTCCAAAAAAACTGATTTTGTTTAGCATTTTTTTTGAAGTATTCTTTTGATTTATATCCTTTCCATTGTTTCGTAATATCTATATTCTTAATAAATTAAGAAATTCACGTAAGTTATTAACTTCGAGTTGTATGCGACACAATGTGATGGTATACGAGCTGCAATTATACTGGGTCGAATTAGAAATCGAATTAGAAATCAAAGTGGCGTATAGCGGAGTTTAGTTTTCACAATTGCGCCCCGATCTTCGTGGCATTCTAGCCTCTATAGACCCAGTGTGTATATTTGCGATTCGCAGTGCAATTAATACATACGTCTGAGAGTGGAAAGCAAAACCCCGGATTTATCGCGCCGGGAATAAGTACGATGATCGTCTCGGGGTTAGCGTAATTAGATTAATATCTTTAGATTTACAGTCGCTCGCGGATTCTGAATCGAGGACTCATTGCGGACGCTTCTTTATTTGCCTTCATAAGAAAATCTTTTTCTCTCTCTCTCTCTCCCCCCCTCTCTCTCTTTCTCTCTCTCTCTCTCTCTAGCGCGCGCGTGCGCGAAATTGTTATATTACTATACATACAGATCCTATCGCGTCTCTTGATAACTGTTAGACCGTTTGAACGCTGTCAATATTGACGTTCCAATGAACGTCTCTTTCCTCGACCCCTCTATTAGGCACTTTTCAACGAAATAACACTCGCATCATGTTCAGTTAAATACGTTCTACCATACAGATCAGACAGAATGTCTTCGAAATCAGAAGCTCGTTTGTTCTCCCAGGCAATAAAATATTATAAAATAGAGAAGGATTTTTTAATGCAATGTAAACGTTGCGAATACAGTACTAAATATGTGCCTATTAACGATTTTGAGAAACACATGCGTAAAAAGCATCAAAGTATTCGTGATTATGAAGAGGAGAACAAGTGTAACGCGCACTGGGCATATTTTATGCTAACAAAAGAAAATAAAACAAAATGTCTTGTATGTGATAAAATCAAACGTAAAATACCGCCAGATAATGTCTTAAAATCTCAAATCTTGGACAATCACGCAAGAAAGCATCCTGATGAAGAATTAAAACGCTACGAAGCACTATATTGGCCCTGGAAATACTTGACACAAGATGGAGATTTTTCTGGAGAATGTAAGCTTTGTAAAACAAAAGTAAACTTCCAGTTTGACGAATCATATTATGCATTATTAAAACATCACTTCAAGAACGAACACAACAAAAGCATAAAGTCACCTGCACAAAAGGTACAATCTTGGAAAGCTCTAAGTGAAAGGAACAGTTGGTTAAAGGAATGTTATACAAAGACTGAAGAGATTTTTCAAGCAAAATGTAAATTTTGCCTAAATGAAAAATTACTATATGTCCACAGCAAATCGTTTATCGAACACGTAAAGGAAAACCATAAAAATATTCACCAGATTGAAGATTTTATGAGCAAACAAAAAAAAGGTTTTGATAGCTGGAAATATGTGCGGTGCATATTAGGATACAAGGATGAAATAGAAGTGGAATGTATGCTTTGTCAAAAATTTCTGCAAAAGGACAGCTTTATAGAAGATCACTTAAAAGAGCATGTGGATAACGAGCTAGAACTCTATGAATCTCAATACAAATATTATAAAACATTGAAACTTTGGCCACTTAAATACTTGAGACAAGATGGAGATTCTGCGATATGTACGATTTGTAAAAAAAATGTAAACTTTTATTGTGATGTGAGCTATTTGAAAGAACACATGATGAAAGTACATCCAGACAATTGGAAAAGAACAAGTCAAAAAGATTTGATGTAAGGAACAACACACGATCAAATTAACAGACCAAGCAAGCTGAAAAAAAAATTATCGTGAGTTTTAATCATATTTTATTAATTATTATTGTTTATTAATATTTATCATTACACATTTTATTCTTTCAATAGTGTACCCAATACATATATGATAAAAATCAAATAATTAATATTTGTTTTTGATGTATTGTAAATGTTTATATAGATTTATCTACATAGAGTTCGACAACGGAAATGATAGTAGCGTCTCATGGCCAGCAATAACGACAGTCTTGACTTCGACCTGAATGTTTTGGGATATACTTATGAAGATATTGGCATATAATTTGACGTATTTGTTGCATAACTCAGCAATGATTTTTCTATAGTGACGAATCTTCGAGTGACGTACTCATTACATACACAATAAGAAAAACAAAAATCAGACAACTAGTACTTGTTTTAAATATCTGTCACAAATGTTTATGTATTTCATCGAATCGCGTTCTGCAGCTTAAAATAAATACAATGTGTACGTCACTCAATATTTGAAGAAGAAACCATTAGATTATATATTTTCAATTAGATATAAAAATGTCACTTTTTTGTAATAACAGTATTTTCATGATAAAGACGTCAGAATCCTTAGCAAAACTAAGAACTTACACAACTATTTTAAGAAAGAACTAGAGGATTATGTATTTCACAGTTGGGCACAGAAATCTTGCTTTTTTGTGCATAAGAAAACAATAATTTCCAAATCCATGTATAAAATATATATTCCTTTAGTTCCTTTTTACAATGCTTGTGTGAATAATTTTTGACAAGCTCGGACGTCTACATTTTATATGACTTTATGAAATAATTTTGAATAATCATGTAAAAGGTAGAAATTATTGGTAAATATGCAAGAAACAAACTTATAGTATTATTAAAGATTAAAACTAAAGAGCGACTATGACAATTTTATATAAAATTACCGAATATTCGAGCAAATGCGTGTCTTGCAAAAATAAATATTATTACATTAAATTTTTTAATATTCGTAAACATGTAGAAAAAGCGTATACAAAAATTTTTTAAATATAAATAAAGGTGTATCTAAAATATAAATAAGGTGAAAAAAATCGGCACGTACTTCTGCAATAAATGTATCAATTGCATTATATTTTATATATTTTATATGTTGCGGTATCGATAAATTAGAAAAATGCTCATATTTTATCAATATAGCCATTGTTATAGATCGTAGTATTAATTATGAGCTATAAACTCCATTAAGTTCTTGTACATTAAAATTTCTCAAAACATTATTTATCTGTGTAACGGATATACTGTAATGCCTCTCTCTCTCTCTTAACTTGACGGTGCGGGAAAATCGAATCGCACTCAACGCGACTAGCATAGAGCAAAAATGCATTTTAAAGTTTACAGCGAGAGGTGAAGAGAGGGTACCGTTAATTGAATAAAATTCCCTCGGCTTCCCGACGGTCGCGCGGGCCGTTAAAATCGTTTATGCAGATCGCGTAGTTCGTCGCGATTGCTTTTTCGCGACCGTGCAAAGCGGCGGCGGCGGCGGTCAACGGCGTTTCAGAGGAACTGTAAACATAATGTCGTACCAGTCGTAAGACACGTTCCGCGAAGTAGAAGCGAACAGGTATATAGCCCTAATAAAATGGCCACTGCTCGGATTACCGCGGCAGTATACGTTGCTCGAAAACGAGCATTGCGCAATAAAAAAGACATTAGATTTGCAAGCACGCGAGTTCTCCACGATTATTCACTTCGTTGCCGTTTCCTGAAATAGAAGAAGCTCGCGGGAAAGTAATTGTTATTTTTAAAAAAATTATCTGAAAATTTCTTTCAAGACTTCTTTGAGCGAATCAACCGTTTAAATTGATTAAAAAGAAAAAGCAGAAAAAGAAAGAAGAAATCGATCACAACGCGCAAATCGCCATTCGTCATTCGTCATTCGCGATGTTACGTCGCGGTCGGCGTATTTATCGCGTCGATAAATTACGCGGGGGAAATTATCGCAGGCGCAAGCAATTAAGAATACCGCGAGGTAGGTGGAACGTGCCGAGGATCCGCGTCGCTTAATGACGCTCCATCATTTTTTCTCCCCCCTCCCCACCCCGCCCCCACCCCTCGAATTTTATCCCGCCGGCCGATCTGCGGCCACGAGTCCTGATGCTGTTATCCGGCGTGCGCGCAACAGAAAGAGAAAGAAAGCCCGTATAGCGGTCAAGTGTACCGTTCCGCGTGCCTCGACGACGACGAAAACGACGCTGCACGACTCGATTATTGCCTCGTCGTTGTAACGAGTTTGCAGCCAAGTATCGCGCCGCCTACCACACTCATCTAAACGTCTGTCTCTTTACGATCGGGATCTCGCGCGAAAAATCGACGCGCGAGCGGAACTACGTCGTATTTCCTTCCGCGGTCACTGTCGTACGGAGGAGAAAAATTATGATCGAGTATGCAAATACGAAAGCGCGACAGATTGGTTCCGGAAAATTTCACGGATCAGCGGGAAAATAGTTCGATCAATCAACTTGATGCGCGTGGAAATATTTCCTCGCATTGAAGAATTGTCCAATAGTCACACTTCAGAAATTCTCTTTCATTTCCGCTTTTATGTACTTAATCTTCTGCGGCCCGAGTTATTTTCATCGTTTCGTTCCAACCGGTCCGCGTAAATTCGACTCTAAATTCGCACTCAGGCGAGGTATGCTAGCACAACAAATAAACACAGCAGCAACAGCGGCGACAACACACGAAGCTCTATACGATCCTAATAATACGAAAGATATTTTTCAAAATCACCGAGTTAGTTTCCGCGAAATACCGGAACGTAATATTATGTCGAATCTAGGATCGCAAAGGGTTAATAATCTTTCTCTTCTAAACTTTAAATATTGAGCTAAATATTGAGCAAGGCGTGCGATTATATCAATCTGAATAATTAATAAGTACATCATTTAATGTAATCAATGCAAATGCGCGGTAGGAAATTGCTTCGATAAGAAACGCGCCGTCATGATAAGCGACGCGTTTCCTCTGTTAAAATAAAAGAAACAGTACATTGGCTTCGTTAAGCCGCGACGGCCTAGGAACGAGCCAGTCGACCACAATTCACGGCGGTGAAAAGTGGCGCTTATCTCCATCCGACGCGCATGCCGAAGAGACGAGGAATCCTTATCAGGATGTCCCGCTAGAGGACGCTCGAACTATAAGTAGCAAAGTGTGTAAGCCGTGTTGAACTATCGTCCCGACGACGTATGTATCGTCGACAACGGTAGGTCGATTGGCGCGATGCCGGCTATCTCGTCTGTTAAGAGAGAGCCTTCCGCGAAGTCGCCGATAAAACGAAAAGCAGAAACGTCCCCGCTTCCCCGAGCATGGCGCTAATAATCGAAAAGAGACGATCGCGAATCATCTTCCTCGAAAGCAGAGCTGTGAAAGCGCTTCTCGAATTATTTCGACAAGAGTGAGATATCACTTCTAAAGCACCAACACGCGCTATTCACGTGCAACTTAAAATTGCAATAATGTAATTGTTAACATAGTGTTAATGCTGCTATGTATTGGCATCTGTGCAAAAATTAAAAAAAAAAAACTATGTTACAATGATAAAAAAATTTGCATACTTGAATTCTCCGATCTGTTATAACATTAATAGATTAAATAATAGTATCGTATTTTTTGTCAAAATTTTAGGCTAAAAGCATGCAATAAACGTTTATCCGTAAATTTTCGTGAAAAAAATCCGCATTATAAAAAATGTCATTAACAGCAGATACGGCAATAATTATATTCTGTACAAGAGCCGACGAATATTTGCTCGTACGAGAACAACATGTCCAACATGCGTTCTATTGCCAGGAAAGTGATACACGGATATCCGATTTCGTGCGGATTATAATATCAATTTTTTACTGATTTACATAACGCGTCTCGAATTCGAGAGACAAAAAAAAAGATTCGATCGTTACGTAAGAGGAAATATATATATCAAAGATACCATCTGCCACTTAAATAACGCTAACATGATCTTGCCGTCTCAGACACCGATTTCGATACTGCGACTACATTGTAAGCGGCTTATGCTGTTTTTATCAGCGAAGGGATACGTCGTCTCTGCAACGCGGAATAGGCGCATAGGTACCGTTGCAAAATCGTCGGACAAGACGACCGCGGGGGAAGAACAGATCTCAACCTACACGAAGCGGCGGTATCTTCATCTGGTAATTATTCACTAGGAGTCCCGTGGACCGACCGTACGTAGACTCCGACACGTGCGTGGGAAGATCTCTCGCGGTGGAAGAGGAAGAAGGAACCGAGGCCCGACTCCGGACCCAAACATTGCGCGAGAAGATTGAGACGGTAACGAGCGAGAGAAAGCACGGAACTCTGCTTAATGATATTCACCATCTTTTCCTCGTGTAACACGTGCCGTAAGAATCGATACGTGAGGCATGTCGATAGACTCGAGCCTTGAACTTCGATATTCGATTATTAAAGCGCTATTTTTTGCGTTACATTTCCAAAAATCCTATTTTGCTCGAAAAAATTTGAAGTTAATTATCGTCGTTGTTAAATCGTACGTATGTAAATTCAGTATGAATGAATAAAATACAATTGACAATTGTAAAAAATTATCGTTCCTAATAAGATGGAAGTTACTTGGAATTGCTTTAAAAAATAAAAGTAATAATATGGTGAAAAGGAGCAAATATTAGGGCACCAAAATTTTACAAAATATTAACTTCAGAGATAGTTGCAATAAACTCCAATAACAAAAGATATCCATATACATTCCAACATCCAAATTCAACTAGCCCGGGCAGATAAAGGTTCAACGCAGCATACATCACGTTTCGCACTAGACACACGCATGGATATTGCGGTAGCAATAACTTAGCAGCTATCTTGTTTTATGAGGGCTTAAAACTAATATTACGCGAGAGCATCCCATATCTACCGGCGAACCATTGCGGTTTGCGTGTCGCGGCGGCAGCAACTTCTCTCTGCGAATGAATTCTTGTGGAATTCGCACGCGAATTCCTCGGTGGCTTCCTTCGAAGAGAAAAGGGAAACCTGGTATTCCCAACGCGCTAAATAAGGTCGCGTTTGCTGCTGCGCGATCGGAGACACCCCGCGGAGCAGAAACGCACAAACTGAGAAAATAATCGGCAAAAAATCATCGCGGTATTTTTGAAAGAGAAAAAAAATCGCGATTCTTCTATCGATAGGAAAAATCGAGGTATTTGTATTCGCGCGACTGTATGAATCAATTTGCAAATATTCTTATCGATTCTAGTTTCGCACAAATCAAATTAGCACGATTAAAGATATAATTAATGGTTCAAGGTAATGTTTATCTTACTACACGAGTAAGTAGTTTCGCAAATATTAAAAAGATGAGATCACAAAGTGGAGAAATACTGGTATACGATCATGCTGTTTATCTCTCTTAATGGCGTGTAATGAAAAGTGTACACGAAAAATCGCGCGTGACTACGTGACACAGAAATCCGTAATTAAGGTCGTGCGATAAAATTCACAACGGTCCGCGAGAGCTAAAAGAGAACGTGACAAAAAGAGAGGGAGAAACGGCGAGAGGAGAGCAGGAAACATGCCAAGAACATCAAAGTTCTCTCATTTCTCTGCGTGAAAGAAGAATTATGAAGTTGTTATTCCTGCACGAATTAGATCTGCACCATTTATACGCGAGCGAAGGTGAACATGAAGAAACATACGCACGCTGAAATGGAGCGCAGAGGAAAGTAAAATATAAAAGATCAAAATCGATGCGATTTCGACAGGGTTTATTTGCTGATACTAAATAATTATAAAATATCATAGAATAGATCCTTTCGATAATGTTTTCATGCTTTTATATTAAGATACGGAATGATGCAAATTCTTGTGATAAAATGAACGCCAGAAAGAGACTGTAGACTAAAGAACAATTTTGTCCAACAAGAAATTCCAGAGATAAGAAAAGAAAAAAAGGACCGATCGTGGTAAGGGAGACAAGTTAAAGATAAAAGAGTAAGGAGAAGCAGCACAACTCTTATCGCGCTGCAAAAAGACTGGCGAAGGGGGGAATCCGAGCGACCACGCTGACACGTAACCTCATTTAAATGCGGTTACACGCCGCGA